GATTGATAAATACAACGCCTAGATGTGAATCAATTTCAAAAAATTTAAAGGGGTTGAAAGGGTGCTTCATAATAATTGTGTTATGTCAATTCCACAATTTTCTGGTCATCCAAAGATTCTGACATTTTCATTTATTGCATTGTCATCAGTGTTTCACAAGTGTGGAAAATTTCAGCTAAATTGAACATTTGAAAATGGGTTAAATGTCAGTCGCAAACTTTGCTAAATTGGGATACCCCTTAGACAGGTATACGCTCCTCAAGTCAAGTTGAATAAAAGTCAGGTGGACTCCAGCGCCAGCTTATCCAGAATGAAAAAAGAACTCTTCCCATTCAGAAAAAAGAATCATGCGATACTTCTTACACAATACATGCTTGAATTACAGCTGTTGTTGCAAGTAAAACACCCAAAAGGATGAAACATATCCTTTCAATACAAAAGTACTCTAGAAGGTTTTCAAATCCATGAGGACAGATGGTATTTTACACAGTTTGTACATTGGTGATACCAAATTCCAATGATTCCAAGGGATATGTCTGAATTTAACAAACTTTTTGGTTGGAGAATACCCAAAGACAAATTTTTGGCAAGAGCTGTCATGGGTCAACTAGATGTTGCCTGCAGATGTGCCATTTAACTTGGGCCAACTAGATGTTGCCCAAGTGGAGAAGGTACTGCAAAGGTACAACAGTACAATGCAGCATACAAAACGCCATGTCATTGTTGCATTCAAAGTTGACTCTTTTTTTCAAACATGAAATTCTCAACATTAAGTTTCTAACATAAATGAAGACAATAAGTTTCCCAAGAAAACCACCCTCAGGCCAGCCTTGGAGATAATGATCTCCTGGGCTTATTCCACATGTGTGAGTCAGCCCTGTGATTGGACTTTGTGTGCAGAAGAATTAGTCACACATCTGTGGAAAGCCTTCAATAAACTTTCCACTGATGAGGACCTGGACCTGATCAAAACCTACACAAGAAGCAGTCACTAGCAGTCTGACCTCAGAAGAGAAAGGAACTACTATTTTGTCCTTTCAATACAAAAGTACTGTACTCTTGAAGGTTTTGAAATCCATGAGCACAGTTGGTATTTAACAGAATTTGCACATTGATGTTGCCGCATTCCAATGATTCCAAGGTATATGTCTGAATTTAACCCTCAGATGGCAGAGGGTTCATTTCAATTGTGAGGCAAAGTTGGGATATTTTTGGGGGGTGGAGCATTTCAGTTTGACCCAAGGTCACTGAAATGCTCCCAGGTTGAGCAGGCCTAAGTTGGGAAAAATCTGGGAGACAAAATCTCTTTTGTTTTCAGGAATCTGCCATGCTGATCCAATACCAGGAATGCAGGAAAAAATGCCACCCAGTGAGGGATTTTTTTTTAATTTTCATTCAAAATTTTCTGCTGGATTAGAAACAAAAATTTGGACTTTTTCCCGACTCAGGCCTTTGTACAAAAGTTGCATTTTTCAATTCTGAGTTCTCAGTGACACAAAATTTTGTGAATATCTCCCAACTTTGCTGCACAAGGGTTAACAAACTTTTTGGTTGGAGAATGTCCCAAGACAAATTTTTGGCAAGAGCATTTGAATACAAAGTCATGTGGAATCATAAAAGAAGTGATAGTTTTGCTTGTACTTCTTCATAAAATTCCTGAAATTCAGAAACTTGAGAGAACTCATGTGTCAGAAATTCAGGATTACTGAAACTCATCTTGTTGATTAATTTAAAGTACCACATTTTCATTAAAAACTAAGAATAATGTTAAGTTCATAAAATTTTTGGATCTTTTGACAGGAATGGTCTAGATAGAACAGTGAACATTTCCTGATTGTGTACCACAGACTGAATAAATTAATAACCGCCTTTTTGTCGATTCTCTAAAAAATGATTTCTGGAATGTGTTAAATAAATGTGCTGGATTTGTTGAATTCTGCACCTTTCTATTTATTCATAAAGTAAATTCCAGATACAGTGTATCTCTTGAAATATGTTTGCTCTCTACTACGTAAATGCAAATCATTCTTAACCTACTCCAACAAATGCCTACCAATACGACTTGCAATGCTTCATGAACTGGTTTTTATATATATCCTTTTTTCATGTTTCAAATTTTGCAGTCTGGCAAGTTTTTGGCCATCAAATGGTGCAGCCATTATTTTTTTTACGAGTTTTATACAGTTAAACTTTGAAACGGTTCACAGTTGAATTTCGAGGCATAAGATCCATGTGGTTTAAAGAGAACAGCTAACTCTCATTTACCTGCTGAGGAGGACCGGTTGGACACATTTGTGAGGAGTCATTCATGCTTTCTTTCCAGGATATCCATGAAAACCTAAAAGTGAGGACTGTCACGCCAATTACAAATAAAGTCCCCAGGAATCGCCGGACATTCCTGGGCATCTTTCTGGGAAAAATATTAAGCACGTTTTCAGGGCTTCACCGTGGAAGTCTCAAATTTGGTTTCCAATGCTGTAACAAAAATTGAGACCCTTATTCAGATTCAGGCAGTATTGAAAATTTTCCACAGCAACAAAAAGAACCCTGTGAAAGAACACTGGAAAACTGAGTGCACATTTCAAGAGCAGAACGTTCTTAGTGTTCCTGGGAATTTCAATCTAAATCCGTTTGCCATTGAGAACTTTACAGACATGGTAACTCCAGATCTTCCGAAATCTGCATGTTGAATGCAATAAACATCAAACGTGAATGAAGATTCACCCCGATAAGATAGGATTATATTGTTATGGTGCACTTGATAAACTTAAAACAGAGGACATTTTTCCGAGCTATACCAACCTTGGTGGGATTTGACGTATTGGACTATAACAAAAGTTTTCTTAAGATTGGATAAGAATATGCTCCACAGCAGTGCTGGTGCACAACTCAAAAGTGGCCGAGGGCAACCTTAAAAAGCAAGCCTTCTCTGTGAGCCACAATGGTGGATATAAATTAACTCCTCTAAAATTTTCAAAATTGTGGACTCAGGTAAATTCAAAAAAGTCAAAAAGTTATTATCCAAAAATACATCTTCTGCTGTTTTAATAAAATGAATTCTTTCAAGCAGGAGTGAGCCCTAAGTAAAAGCTTACTACCATGTCTCACAGAAAGATTATTACCATAGCCTTGTTTCTCAGGGAAAAATGTGTTTTTTAGTCCTTAACTTAGGTATGTTTTTCTATTATTTTTGCAGGCCACAGGACTTTTGTAAAAAGGACTAGCGTCTAGGGGAAGGCTTGGAATGTCTCTTAACCAACAGGGTTTGTTACACACATGAGTTGTAGGCACGTTTTCTTGGACACAAATGCTGAAGAACAGACGGTGACACGTAAGCTTAGAGTGAATATAATGGGCTGACACTAGGCTGTTCAATACTTGCTGGCTGCTTGAAAAACTAAACTAAACTGCTTGAAGGGAACACAGGCTAAAAGACAAAGGACTGTACAGCTAGCTTACTTCAAAGCATACGACATTTCAGCCAGCTTGGGTTGTGAAGCATTAATAGAAAGAAAGGAAAAGAGGGGAGAGGGTGGCACAGGCAGGGGAGCCAGATTATGCTGGTTTCCCAAAGTTTTGGATCACAAAATTCCCTTTTTTTTTAGCAACCTTTCAAATTTTAGTTTTTCTCAGGGTAATTTAGCTTGCTCAAGTCCTTGTGTTTGGACTCAAAATGCCTGTGGATGGACAGTGTGCTAGAACTAAAATGTGAGCCACCGAATTCATGCTGCTCACCCTTTCCCCAGTCCCACTCCCCATGCAGCTGGAGTCACTCTCTTGTGCTCATGCTTGAGAGACTTCAAAAAAAAAAAAAGAGTGCTCCCTAAAAGAGGAAATAATGTTATTACAACAACAACAAAAACATTGAGGAGGACTTACCTGTTGCCAATCTCCAAAAGAAGCCCTGTGTTTCCACTTATTATGCTTCTGTGGAACCATTTCATACATGGTTGAGTCTTCAACTTTTCTATGTTCAAAGTCCAGGAGTACAAAACAATTCTCTGAGCAGCAGGACAATACATTCACTGATGCCATGCAAGCAACTTGCATGGTCGTGGTTTTCCTTCGCGGAATCATTTCGATATCCTTCACCAGCAGTACGAGGCCAGTCCTGCATGATGTGCACAAGGTGAAAAATGCAAGGTCAATGAAAGAAACGAAATATTATTCTCAAGCGTGATCAGGGAACTTCGTATAAAATTGTGACGCTGCATCCTCAATATATTAGTTAATATTTAAAAAAAACCTCGATGATGCAATGAACACATTTTCAAAAGAAAGGAGCAATTTCCTTCGAAATATGCGGTAATGACTCATTCTATCACAAATGCAATACTATATATAACTCACAATCTCGCATCGTCTTCTTATTCATCCCTGCTGCTTCCCTCTGATCCGGATTCATCCGCATCTTTGTCAGAATCAGATTCTTCACTGGCAACATCGAGCCACTCATCTTCCTCAGGGTTTGTCACTATTTTGATGGGGTTTTTTTTGCTTGCTTTCGTTTGCGAAGACTTTTAGCTTCACGCATTTTTTTCCCCGCTGTGCTGAAACACCCTTCTTCTCTTGAGCATTGAGCTTTTTCACCAATTGCGCAGATTCAAGTTTTCTCAAATCCCTCTATAGTCAAAATCCGATCCAGCGTGATGGGAGCAGCCATTTCTTCTGTCTTATTTATGACTTTCTGAAATGTTTTCAAAGCACTGGCATGTTTTCAATCCGTGTTGCTCTCAAAGCAATTACCTCCTGCATATGGTTACGAGACAACTCACATAGCGACAACTCACACAGCGACAACTCACATAGCGACAACTCACACAGTGCGACAACTCACACAGCGACAACTCACATAGTGCGACAACTCACACAGTTCTTTTTTNAAACGGAAGCAGCTAAAGGCTCCTCAACGACATTTGTAGGCACATCTACTATAGTTTCATTTTCGGAAGAAACAATTGATGTCCAGTCACGAAAAAGATCTTCAGCAGTTCCCAACCTCAGCTCAGCCTCACGAAATTTAAGGATACGAACTCCGTCTAAAAAAAAAAAAAAAAAAAAAAAAAAAAAAAAAGAAAAATAAAAAAAAAAAAAAAAAGAACTGTGTGAGTTGTCGCACTATGTGAGTTGTCGCTGTGTGAGTTGTCGCACTGTGTGAGTTGTCGCTATGTGAGTTGTCGCTGTGTGAGTTGTCGCTGTGCAAGTTGTCGTGTAATCCCTGCATATTAGTGGGGACAAATTAAAACTGGCTGAAATTTTCAAATAATTCACTGAACAAACAGAAATGTAATCTTCGTTCATTGGTATCCTCAAGTGAATATAATGATTCTTTAAGGAGTTAAAGAAATATGAGCACAAGTGGTCACCTGTCCTGTTTATTTCAGACACCCACAGCATCCCTTGCTGTATATACAGCAGTTCTGTCTGTTCTTAGTCTCTGAATTTTGTTAATGACTTGGATTACAGTTCATAAATCTGAGGGAATTTAAATGTTTTTATACAGAAAACCTGGTATGTTGGCAGATTTGAAAAGTAAATGCTGATAAATGTAAAGGGCAAGCACTAAAAATTGCAGCAATTGTATGAAATTTTGCCAATATGCATTCTTTTTTTTTTTTTTGCTGAACTGTGGGCCCGAAAAGATTGGGGATAACACTGGACTATAGCATATACCTACTGCAAAGGACCAAAGAAGTGTTCACCCAGGAAAAACAAAATTCATCAGGATCAAACCTGGCATTTGAAACTGCTGTGTAATTCCATGCAGTAGTTTGGCAGGTAATTAAACAATGAATATTTCGCGAAAAGTTGGATTACTCCGAATCGCTTTGATAACAATGGACATCCGGATGACGCCACGGAGATTCTGCTCGCAACAGCCCAAATTCTTACAGGTCCTGTCAGCCACCTCTTCCAGTTCAGCCTCACTTCTCTGCTCTCCCTTGAGCAGCATCACGGCTGAGATTGAATACACAGTAGCATAATACATTATTACTGCACACTGAACAGGTTCAATTCCTTTGTACTGAATTATTCCCATTAAAAGAAATTATTTATTACAATGACATTCGAAGAAGTCTTGGCTGACAGAAATGGGATACAGACAATTTGAGACTGGGAAATTTGAGGCTGGGCCAAAATTCAAGACAGGGGTCAATTTGAGACAGAGAGTCCATTCAAGGCAGGGCCAATTCCCCATGCAAGGGAGAGGAAAAAACCCAAGGAAATCCTTTTCCAAATACATATACAGTACTGTGCTGTATTTATATTTTAAAAACAAAAGCATTATAAGGGTAATATCAAGGTCTCAAAAATGTTTCTGTCTTGAACAACCTCTTTCTCAGAATGACATTCCTATGTTGAATGGTCTCTGTCTGAAAATTTGTCTGTCTTGAACACAGTAGTCTCATATTGTCAGTCTAAAAATGTTTTGTCTCATTAAAAAGTCCCTGTCTTGAATTCTCTGTCTCAAATTTTTGCATAAATTTGACTGAAATAAAACTGTTGACATGATGCTGCATACATTTTTTCCAATTAAAATATAAGAACACATTATTATAACACTTGTTTTTGGTCAACCAGTACTGTATTTTCCATTACAAGGATCATAATAAACAGAATATTCTCACAATTTTTCTTTCTGGCTTTCAAGTGTGCACTTTTAAATCGATAATTACTGCTCACTGCAGTTCAAAAATATACACTTCATGCAGAAAAGTTGAAAAAAAATCACAGATTACTGTAAATTTGTGCGGCACACAGGAAACTCCAACACATGATTGGACACTTGCCAACATTCACAGAAAAATAATGATTATTCTCAAAACTATTGATCTTTTTTGAACAAATATATTGAATTAGTGATCAGGAACATGAAGAAAAGACAGCTTATTATAAACTTGGTCCAATTCATTTACCCAACTATAATTTAACTGTGTGTTGTTTTAACATGTGTACACTATTGTACTGTTTATATTAATTAATATTGTATGTCTCGCACTTCTTTTATCCTTTGGACTTTTCTTCATCCCAAAAACGTAATTCTGTGCTGTTTTCTTCAACAAGAGTTTTTTGTAGGTTTTATGGTTGAGAAAAACATTGTGATTGTATTTTTTGGAGGAGTTTGCCCAATAAATATAAAGAAAGGATTTAAATTTTTATTAAATTCAGTGAGGAAATATGTTACCAACATTTAGAAATGTCAATGCATAGATGACATATACTCTGAGAAGCAAGTACATGCAGTATTGTACACTGTAAGTTTAAATATTGTGTCCTTAAAATGTTCATAATTGAAGAAAAATGTGAAAGATGATTTCTTCCCTGAAAAAGCATCTTTGTTGCCTTTGATGCATGTGCCTTCAATGTTTTTGTATACTTATGCATATTAACTTTGTTTGTTGTTACAAGATTTCACCCAGACCATGTGATGATGAGGATAGATTTGACCAAGGACTATATTAGATGCCACATAGCCAGAAACTTCAAGTACAGTCGAACCCCATTAAACCATAGGAAAATTGAAACAGAACTGTTGTTCCTCTGGTTCAGTAAGAATGCATTTACAGTACAATTTAAAAAAATTTAAGCAGAACTGTTGTTCCCTTGGTTCAAATCCAGGAGAAAAGGTTTTTTTTTCAATATCAAATGGTGCCAAAAATGGATTCTACCTGGAAAAGGTTGCTTATGGGAATAAACAGGCACACATGAATTTCAGCTGTTCACAGTTGGACATTCACCCCAATTTTTTAAATTACTGACTGTTTTTGACGGATATTGTGTCAGTTTCTATACACTTAGATTGGAATAACTGTGATTTTCAAAGTGGTGACCAATGAATGAAGTTTTCTTTAGTAATTTCTCTAAAGTTTCAACTGAGTAAAAAACAAAAGAAATCACCATTTCTGTTTTCAATTTATTCTGCAATGCAAGGTATTTTTGGTAATTCTGTAAAATTATTTACTTTTCTCCTCCTCTGACTCTAATTCCTGCTGTCAGCAATCTCATCATTCAAATACTTCTATTTATTTTTTTTCCTAGGGAGATAATTTTTCCTAGAAGTATCAAAATTCAAAGAATAAAAAGAGAGTTTCTCTCAATAATTTGAATTGTCATTCCAATAAAGCATTTCTCTCAGCAGAAGCACAAATGAAATGGCAAGAAATCCAAAAGGTTTACATCAATTATGTTTGCAAATAAGAGTTCAAAGAATTTGGATTGGTCGAATTTTAAGGTGGCAGCTTCATACATTTTAAAGATTTGGCTCTGTAATTCATTCCTTCCCTTTCTTGTGCAGTTTTTCCCAAGGTGATGAAGAAAACACTTTACATGCCTTAAAATTATATGCTGGCTGCTGAGAAAAATCCTCTTTGCCAGACACGCAGAAAGGTTCTGTTTTTGGCTGGTTCCAGCCTGCAGGACATGTGATGGGCAGCTCTGCCTTATATGAATATCACATTTATATGTGTACACTTGATGCAAAAAACATTTTTTGAAGTCCCATTAGTCTTCAGCTATCTTTGCCATAAATGAGATCTGAGAACATCCAATTTTGTCTCTACAGTGTGTGCTTAGGTTTCTAGCAAATAATTTTTTGTCCATTATGAAACTTTCAGAATTTTCAAGGGATTGATGCCTACTGCAACTCCAATAAATCGCAACCACATTAAACTACCAGAATCATGCTGAACAGACGTTGGCGGTTTAACAGGGTTTGACTGTATATTTACTGGTGTACATATGGTTGAGAATATTGCATTACGGGGGACCATTATATATACCCTTCATGATCTCTTTGAGCCTCTCAGGATCCACACTGTCAGTGGAATCCACTGTCGACAAGTAATGGAACCAAGCCAGTCTGTCCTCTAGTCCATTTTTCATTCGCATGGAGTGAATCAGCAAAAAGACCCCCAGTCCCAAGGGCTGATTCCGGGTGTCCTCCATCACTCTGTCAAACACCACATCACAGTAGGGGTTTGTCACTCCAAAGGGGTACTGTAAATAATAAGTATCCAGAAATGTACAATTCATCAAAAGCAATATTCTCAGTCCTGTCTATGATTTAATCAAGAGGCACAGCCAGTCATTTATTGAAGCTCAATATGCATTTGGATCACTGTAAAATTTCACAGCCACCTGAGAAAACCAACTATCAAAAACCAGTTAATACAGTCAACCCCCTCACCACTGACTTCATTCAAGCAAAAGACTACTCTGTTATGTGAAAAGTCTAGCAGTGATGTAAATTCAATCATTAAAAATTCCAATTTTTACTTTTTACCCTTCATTTCCAACAAACAGAAGTTATTTAGGTGGATTTTGTCCATTAGGTGGGAGGAAAAACCTGTCTCAAGAGGTCCTTTCAGCAAAAATCCCATAGGCAGGAGGTCTATTATGTGCAGGTAGACTATAAACCGTGCAAGTAATGGGGTCATTTGGCAGCCAGACATTGGGGTAGTGCCCTGCCAATGTGTTCTGCAATGCTTTGGATTTCAAGACAATGTCCTTTATTTTGCCAGTTTGAGCCAGGCATTGCAGCACACATTGTCAGGGCATTGTCAAAAACATTGGAAATGAGGCTATAATTAAAGGCATTGTGGATTGCATTGGCATTGGGCACATACAATGCTTTGAGAAGAAATGCACCTGTTTATTTCAGAGTATCATTGAACATACACACTGCCAAGATATTTAGCCAATGTTCACTGAAATTTCCTCAATTATTCTTAATTGAGGCAATGTACATGTGATGTTCACTTGAAAATTGCTGATTCATTCTTGAGTAAAAGTGTAAATTTTGAAAAACCAAAATGCAGCAATATCTAAAATGTTTCTCAAACTTTGAACATCTGTACAAAGTTTGCTTATTAAGATAAAAGACTTTAAAAGAAAGCAAATGTTCACTTGAACATTGCTCAGTCATCATCAAGTACAAGGCAAAAGCCTGATAGGCCTCATTGCTGTGTGGAACATTTTTTTAATGCCCTTCTATCTTAAATAGCAAACTTTTTACAGATCTTCACTGTAAGTGTGAATTACACCACTAGAAATGGTACCTTGCAATTTGATCCTAATCCATTGTCAAACTAGCATCAAATTGCAAATCAGTTGAATTGCAAGACCCTCAATGAAATTTAAAATATAAGTAAAAAACGCAAAAAAGTGCCAAAGCAGGTCAAATTGCAGGGCAAGGGTCAAATTTCAAGTCAACCTCCCTAAAAATTTGACCATCAAATTTTTGGATGGTCAACTTGTGGGAGGTTGATTTGTGAGGTACCACCTGTACATTTTCACCAGCTCACATCAATATTTCAATTTTTTTCATTCTGAGAAGCCTTTCTTCAGCAAGTCTTTTTAACAAAACTTTTCAAGCCTGCAAACATTTTATGACACTTTTTTGGTCTGCAGACATTTTTTTAAATTTCCCAGCCAAAAATGTTATGGAAATATTAGGCAGGTCTGTAAAAATTTCAATAGAAATTTGCTAGTCCATGGGCCAAAAGAGGTATACACTTCACCATGTCCTGGAACTGTAGCATGGTTCAGTACTGTAGTATGGTATATTATATAACGAATACTCTTCTCAGTCTCACCTTAGGACAGTACTTCTCAAAGACCAGGCGGAAACTGGAACGTGGCATGAGCCCTGAGGGGAAAGTGGTGAACCACCATTCGTGCCAGGAGGCAATGTCTTCTTCCCTGAGGGACATTTCCCTCAACACCTTCAGCTGGTACTTGGTCAGTCCACTATATGGGTTGGGAGGCAAGTGTTTCGATTTCCAACAACCCATCTGTTTGCATCAATCTGAATAATACAATAAATTACCTGCAAAAGAATTAAGTAATAATTTGTTCCACAGATCCTACCCGAAACACTTCCAGAAACTTTTTCCCCAGGGTCTCACTCGCAATGGACCAAATTTGGTTCCGAAATTGTCCTCCATTGAAATCTTGTTCAAACAAATCTTTACGATTCATAATTATTTGTTACTTTCCCCTGTATTTCCTTTACATTTGTCACAACCTTGCTTCTCTTTATTACTGTACTTTTTCTTTGAAGGCAACAATTTTAAACAATTAATTACCGATCTCAGAATTTCAAAAAAGGAAAAACGATATTCCAATAAATCATAAAAACATTAATCATAGATTATTTTTATTGTAGGGAACCCCTATTCTTCCTGCTTACACATTTTTGCAGTTCATGCAACTGATGGGATACCTGATTTTCTGTACACTATGGCAAGAAAAAGACTCAAATTCTATTTTTATCACTCATGGTGGAAAAGAAGTGCATTTTTTTCCAGCAATATCCCTAAAAAAAATTTTGAGAGACCCATGAAGGTTTTTGCAACAAGGTTTTACCTCAAGATTTCACCCCAATTGGAGATTACCACCAAAATAAAGACGAACCAAAAACAGCAATGCTTCACTCAGTCAGAAATGATTCCTTCACAGAAAACTGGGACAGGCACTGAAATGAATATGATTAAGGAACCTTTACTGGGATAAGCTTCGGAAGTTACTTTAACGTCTGCAGTGTTAACTGAGGATCCTATAGGGGTCTGGGGGAACTTTAATAAGGATGTCCTGTAACATGTGTCTGTGGCAGGTTTTCCTTGGCATAGAAAAAAAATTCGGGTGCAGTGAAACGGTCGCGGAGGTACCCGGTTCAATCCCACCCCTTGGCACATTTTTTTTTTTAGAAAATGTTTCCTATTTTGATTTGAACTTCCTCCAGCCAAAAAATTCCAAATTTGTAGAAATGCATTGTGCATCCAAGAAAAATTTTAAAACTAAAATTGCTCCAAAAATATTATGAGTTAAACTTGAAAGTCCAAAAAATTTTTGTTTTCCAACCTTCCCAATATAAAAATTCACCATATGATTTCTGCTCAACAAAACTCTACCTTTTTTATAGGGTGGATGCGCAATGAAGTTCTGCACATTTCTCCATTTCCAACTTTGAAAAATTCCAAAAATTGACTGAGATATTAAAAAAAGTGGACCTTTTTCAAAAAATTGAGTGAAAAATGGGAAAAATTCCTTTTTAGATCTAAATTTTTAACTGATCAAATTGAAAACCCCATGTCATTGCAAATATAACTGCACAAAATTTTTTAATTCAGGAAAATAAAAAAATCAATTTTTAAGTTCTTCCAGCCAAAAAAATTCCAAATTTCCAGAATTTCACTCAGTATGTAACAATGATTTCAAATGTATGTTATGTACATGTGTATGTATGTATGTATGTATATTTTGCTACATTGGGGCACTAACATAGAAAAACAATGCAATGTTATGTCTATAATGTGATACAGCAATTCTTTTTTCAAATATAATACATAAAAATTTGAATTCCCAAGTTTAATTAGGGTGCAATTAGTATAGTAGAGTGTCCGCACTGCGGATGCTCTACTACTAGAAAATTGAAACCAGAAACCCCACATGGATGACGTGCGATGGTGATAAAAAGTTTAACGCATGGAAGGAAGGTCAAATTTGGGATGCACAGAAATGGGTCACATCCATGCACTGATACATTTTAAAAAGTCAAGACTTCCAATAATTCATGAACACTCGCGCAGCGACAAGAACAATGGCACAGCTGTAAGGGGATATATTTTAATTTGGTAATGCTTTACAACAAAATCACATTCCTAATTACTTTGAGTCTTGTGTAGATGAATCATGTACCTTATGGCAAAATAAGCTTGGATTTGGCAAATATGGAATGCGCTTCTGAAAAGTGTAATCACTCAGCTCATGCAAACAAAGTGATTAATATTCCACTCAAATTCATTTCGTAAATACAATTTTTTAGTGTTTGGTTGAACAAGCACTTTGACAATTATGCTATTACAAATAGATCAAGTACCATAAAACATATGTAAAACTCTGAACTGCAATAATACGCTCTTTGAGGTGTATCCCACTTCTGATTGACTTCGGATATTTCTAGGGTGGCTACCTCTTAAAAAAAAAATATATGACGTAGTAATTGTAGTCCATGCAATTTTAAGGTTCTGGGATTTTTCAAATTTTCATACACGTTTTAATATGTATTATTGCATGATGATGAGTGAAAACGTTCCTGCTGAGGAGAAAGTACTGTACTCAAACCACGTCACAAATTGTTGAAACTTTTTCAGACAAGAAAAAATATGGAAAAATTTATTAAATAAAGCATGCAGATACTTTAAAATTACTTTTTTGCATCCTCATTTATTGTCTTTCCTGCCCTTTTTGAATGATGTTTACCCTAGTTTGGTAAGTATGTAAAGACATGACCATATGTTAAGACATGATTTTCACCCGGCCATGTCATTTTTGATAATATGATGGGACCTGGTCCCAAACCACGCAGCTTTGTTAACTGAGATGATCACAAAAGGGAACAAATCAGAATCCTGCTCAGTCAGCTGCTTTGTTATTGTCACAGTGGTACAAACACCCTGTATTCCCATTCATTCCATCACCTCCTGACAAGTTGAACCCACAGATTGTATATCTATATGCATTTACACAAGAGGGGTCTAACAAAAGTTTTCAGATGGAGCTGAAAACCCCAATTATTCTTCATTCATAGAAAAAAATTCAGTCCTGTTTGGGATGGCGGAATAACATTGTCATTCCAAAACCAGATGATTGTTGTCAAGCCAAAATCAGGACAATGTTTTCTGCTGGAACTGGACTAGTTTTGTTGCTTGTGTGCCAGAACTGAACTATTGTTGTTATGATAGGAATGGAAATATCTGCGGAATAAATGGAATAAGGATAGGTTAGGCCGGTTAGGTTTGGTTTTTTATAGAATACATTTCTGTTGTTCCCAGATCTTGAAACATTTGGGGGTTATTTAAGTTTTTTTGTATTTGGACAAATGTTGTACACTTCTATCAGGAAGGGCCAGTCTGCATAGGAACCACATTATTCCAAGTTGGGCCTGATGATGTTATTCCGGTCACTCCCATATTCAACATATTTTATTTAAAATGTGTTGTACAAGTCACCCAGGCAGCTTCATGTTGCTCTTCACTCAAAAGATGATGCACCCATTTTTCAGATTTTTTTGTGTACCCTAGGTTTCTGTTGATAATTCTTGAAATTGCTATGACATTAATCCCAAGGGTTGTTGCCATTAATTGACTATTACGGTCATTCCACCATTTTCATCAACAGCCATCACATTCTCATCGCAAGCGCCATTTTCATCAAGCCCCACCACTTGGGATGAGAATGTGTCAGCTGTTGATGAAAAAGGCAAAAGTATGCATTATTGGAAGACCTAAAAGAAACCCTTTGAATTGATGCCATGTCAATTTCAAGAATGCTGAAGGTGAAGCTGCTGGGCTACACAAAAAAAAATCTGCAAGATGGGTGCCTCATCTTTTGATTGAAGAGAAGAAAGCTCCCAAGGTGACTTTTCCAAAAACAAAGAACCACAAAAAATGCAAAGCAGGGCTGAGCCTTTTCTTCTTACGTGCCCAAGAGTGTTTTTTTTTCTCCACAATCATTGTTCTTCAGCTCAATCTTACACCCTTTAAATTTCTATGCCAAAACTTCCCTTGGAACCCTGGTATAAACTCAAATATGTGATATATGTTCTGTACTAGGCAGACAGATTGACGTCTTGCAGTTGGAAGCCATCTCCTTTTGAAAAAGCTGTACACACAGCTCCCCCCACCATCCTCATCAGCTATAAGGTTGCCTTTTTCCAGCATTTTCCATTCAAGGGCTTAAATAAAAATTGTTGTCTCATGGTGAAAAAAAGGGGCCTGATGTGCTGGTAAACAATCGGCGTGTCGTCGGCTCCATTAACTGACACACATTCGCGATCATGTCATGATATATCAGATAAATGAGAACAGTACCTCAAGGACTTAAACTTTGAGTCCATAGAATATCATTCACAAACATTAACTGGATTACCCCGTGCGCAGTTTGAGAAGTGCACCTTACACTTTCAGCTAAAGAATGCAGACAAAAATGCTATCCCAGCATAAGACAGACACCTTTTAATTTTCAGTTGCCAAAACTCCTATTGAAACGTTGCATTGGTTAAAAATAAAAATAAATTCAATTTTACTCAATAATTTAATTCAAAGATGATGTTTTGTTCAATACAAAAAGATGGCAGACAGTATTAAAATAGAGAAATAGAGAAGTCTGAAAAGAATTTGAGGCGGGGAGAAAAGTTTCCGAAGTTCAAAAATGTCACTAAAAATGTTGTACCTAACTATGACATACGCCTCCTTTTTTATTTTTTTAAGGCAGGTACTAGGGTGAACTTGGTAACACTGCGCAGGATAATTAGCCATCACAAATGAATAACAACCCTCCAGGCCAGAGAACCTTTGGCCTGGGAATGTTACCAAGTACCTAACCAAATGCTCTTCACTGTGAACACTGCGCAGTATGTAGACCCCATAGTAGGAACCCCCAGCCATTAGAATTTCAGCACGTAAACCAGATATTCCTGGATCTGTCCTGTATTCATTTGGTGGGCTGGGAGTTCTTTTATCTGGGACAGTGAAGATAATTTTGTTAGGTACTTAGTAACATCCCCAGGCTAACAGTTCTCTTGTCCAGGGGGTTGTTCCTAAATCCTAACCAATTATCTTAACTGTGAATTGTTCAGAATTGGTTTCCAGGAATCTGTTCCCTTCCAAATAATAAACAAAGAGAGATACTGTCAAGTTGCCAAAAGATGGCACTGGGCAACCAAAGAATCAATTTCCCAGTGCCTGAATCAGCCATGTGCTGCAGTGTGATGTAGGTGGTTAATCCCACCTTTAAACCTGTTTGCCAAGTGCCAGGCAAACCAGAGGTAAGGAGGAGGGTAAGGAACATCACCAAAGTTCAAGCCAAAATTGGAGATTTTTGTGCATTATAGACTAGACTTTCATGAGAGTAGGATCTTGATGATTTGATTTCTGTCAATAGACCTCCTTGTGTGTCTTGTGTGTTCTAAAATTATTTACTCAGATTGTTCTACTTTACTAGAACAATCTCAGTACTGCATTTCTCCTGCTGTGTATTTGTTTGTGGAAGGATTAAATTGAAAGTTTTCAGGGCCCTCTGTAAGAGGTACCTGGCCACCTAATGGATGATCACAGTTTTTGATTTCTTATACAAATTTCTCAATTTCTTTGTTGATTTACAATTCAGCAAAACTGGTGGCCAGCAAGCCTCCCAGTGAAAGGCAATCAAACCCTCAAAGTGTTTGAGTCTGATAGGATGCAGCCTATGACATTCATGACACATGTATGAGATTTAAGAAACCTAAATCTAATTAGCCCTTGAGTTAGAATTGTTGCAGGCTGACCATACCTCTCCAATGTCCAGAAAGATGACAAGTACTCAACAGGAGATGCAGCCAATTTCCAGCAGGCTTTGTACTCCAAAAAATTGAGGGCGGCTTCCAACCCAGCACCCAATGACAACTCCTTGAACCTCAACAAGTCAGAGTGGAGCCAGTGCCCACACCAGCCAATGTACCCAGCATTCTTGTGGAAATCAGCAACCTCTTACAGCCTCCCAGTGTTGAACCTGGCTCATTCAATCTACAAATTGAGGGTTGGCAATGGCAACCAACATTCAATCATCAACAGCAACAAATGCTTGCCAAATGACAATCCTCCAAATCCTTGGACTGGCCAATGGAATTGGAGCCATTGACCACATCTTGCTGACCCCTAAACTCAGGGATCAGCAGAAATGGATCAAATGGTATACCCTGTTATTTCTGAACATTGGTGCACATGTATTGGCACTCCCTGAAGGAGTCTTCACAGATGCTGACATTGCAGCTCTGACACTCCCAGCAGACAAAACCAACTACCTTGCAGTAAGCACATCAGAGACACTGGGAGGTGCATGGCCAATGCTTTGCCCCACCCAGGCTTGAGTGTTTGGAGTAGCATTTCCAGTACCACTAATGCAATGTGTGCTGCACTTGCAGAAGAACTGCAAGCTGATGAGAACATACCTCCAACAGTAGCTGCACCATGACAGTCCAGTGCCATTTCAAAGCACCAGACCTCCATATGTGGCAGCCATGCAAGATGCTAGCTCCATGTCAATATGCAGGACTAAGGCCTGCATCTCTTGGCTCAGGGGGGACTGCAGATCCCTATAAGCACATATATCAGCTCTATGGGACTGGCAACCCATTACCTCTGCTTATGCAGAGCTTATTACATCCTATATCCAAAGGATGCACATTCATGCTGACCTCCTGATTCACCTGGCTTCCAAAAATATACTGCTAAACCCAATGAAGGACTAACATTTGAACTCCTCTGGACAAGTCTATCCCTTGAGGTTTACATGGCACCTGTAGAACAACTCAGAGATGCCAAACAAACCCACATACTGCTCCTGCATCTCCATGGAGATGCCAGATGCAGCATGTACAATTATATTCCTCAAGCCCCAGGAATTGAATACTTTGGCATCATCCAAGTTCTCTTCAACAAACATGGAAAGACTGAAAGGCTCCATTTGAAACTCTTCTTTGAGTTTGATCACCTACCAATGCTGAAAAAAAATTGAAGAATTTCTTCAATACTTTTATCAGATGGTCCAAATCACCAATCAATCAAGTACCATCAATACTGATATACATCAAACGAACATGAACATCTGGCCCATCATATAAACACATATGTGGCATGCTAGGATGTATCATGACATGAACCTTATAATAAAACTTGACCCACAGGCACATGAATATAAGAAGGCAGCCTGGGCAATCAGACCACAAGAATGGTACCACTGGATTCAAAACTACTTTGCAGAACAATGTGCCCTGGATGAATCAATGGTGCCTACCTTCACCAGCACAGCAACTGAAGCAAAGGCTACAGCTAAACCACCATCAGCCAAAAGGCCAGCTGCAGTGTGCTGACCTCCTGCAGCAGCAACATCAGCTAAAACAGGTGCAGTTGCTGCCACTGCAGCCCCTGCAAAAGAGAAATCAAACCAATCCAATGGAAAAAAAATTCCTGATGAAGAGAGCAATACAAAAAATAAGCTAAATTGGGATCATACAGCCCCAGGTACAAGCGTTGCCAGAGCAGATTGCCAAGACAACACTGCAACAGGACGCCATGCCAATTTTGCTCATGTTCAAACCAGAGGAGCAGATATAACTGCAATGGCCATCAACATGGACACAGAGATCACAGATCAGGGCAAAATGCTCAAAACATGCAGGGAGAGGATGCTGCATATGTGCAGGCAAGCACAGATTCTACAACTGCACATTGCCCCTCCAAGAACACTTTAATGCAATTAGATGCCTGTGGCTTTGCAGCAATTGTCTCTCCAATTGGCACTATACCTATGACTTTCCATCTCAGTATGATTGCCATCATTGCAGAGAACAACATCACTCCACATTATGCAATCAAGCACCGGCTCCTCATCAGCTACAAGCTGCAACAGCACCAGTAGCAGCAACAGCCACCCTAGCAGCAGCAGCACCTGCAGTAGCAGCTCCTGCTGAATTGGCATAACTAGAATCAAATGAAGACAGGAGGATGGGACTGGTACTATCCCTACAAGCCTCCCAACCTACCTGTGCATTCATGGAAACCACTGCAATCAACATCATTCCATCCAATGCAATGGCCTATGCTTTACTTGACTCAGGGTCTCAACTGACCCTCATTGACAAATCCCTTGTGGAACATCCATCATTGCCCAGAATTATGTGCACCATACTCCATTGGAAGCATTCCATGAGGAAAACCATTAACAACAATCAAAGCAGTTTGTCTGACCTACAGAGGAGGATCCACAGAGTCTTCAAGCCACACAACACGAGCAGTCATTCCACACAGTGGCCCTTGGACAGGAACAAATCCTTGCACACTTCTGTGGCTAGAAGAATATCATACCAAAATGGCAGATCCCAGGGTCCTTACAACAACAGCTGTTTCCATTCACACAGTGCTGGGGGAGCAGACCTGATGGGCTTATACCAGCAACAGGCCCCATTCATTTGATCAGCAGGATTCCAAGCCACCCCAACCACCTTGGGTCTGGTCACACAAGGTTCATGGGCAAATCAGAGGCTACATGCTCCAGTTCCCAGCCCTAACACATATATGGCAATAGGAACATCAGTAGGTGAAACCATGGATGGAGAACTTAACAATCTCATGCTTCAATATGCTAAGCAAGACCAAATCAATATTCTAGGAAATCATGAGGAAAAACAGTGCACAAGGAATGAACAATTGTTGGGATATCTGGAGCAATTAGTTGGCAGCCCAAATAAGCATGTGGTGACACCTCTAGTTAAAACATCATTATATCCATCTCGGTGCACACCCAATCTGCACACAGGATCAAAACAAATCTGTTATCAAGCTCACACAAAAAGGGGGACCTATGGCAAAAGCATATGCCGACTGCTGAGAATAAGCCCCCCACCACACTAGACTGACAAGAGGAACTGAATCAAAGAGGCACAGCTTACACCAAACCCTGTATGCCAATGAATTGAAATGGCTTGTAGATTAAATTTGAAGAATTTTGATGAAAAATATAGATTTGGACAGATATGCATGTTCAGGTGTAAGTTTCAAGGTCGTATCAATTATAGATACTCAGCTAGCGTTATGAAATACAATCAAACATTTTTAAATTGACTTTTTACCCTTAATTTGGCATCTGGAATAAATTCATGATTATCTGGGAATATCCATTCTCAACATTTGTGATCGTGTACTTGCTTGTGTAAGCTGGGATTGAGAATGTAAAAAGAAAATCAAATGCAATTTAAAGCTCTCCGTTGCGCACATTTATGCAGCGTGCTTTTTATGTTGAGTTCTTACCTTAATTCTTTTCAGTTCCTGGATGTGGTCTTCCAGTACTTTCACGAAATGAAGTACTGTACTCTCGTTATCATCATTTCATCAAACCGGTTCTTTGGGGGCAACTATGCTATGATATTTTTGTGTTGAGGAATAACATTTTCTGGGCCATGGAAAGTGAGCCTTTATATTTGAAGCACCTCATGACCAACTTTTTTTTCTTCCGGGAAGTATTGCAATACATTAATTGAAGTAAGTTTTAATAAAAACCCCAGCGTGATTTTTCTATCCAAAAGAGAAGAAGAATGAGGATTTTTATTAAGCCAAATGAAATACTGACTCGCCTTTTTCTTCCGTTTTTTCTTAACGTGGAATTAAAGCTTTACTCTCAAGGTTATATTTTTATTCTCGCATCAAAAAGTTATATAACCATGGTCATCAATATCTTGATCAGCTGGAGATTTATCTTTACTTGTTCCTATGAAGAGGTAGCTGAAAAGGGAAAAATATAACAATAATACAGCATTCTTCTGGGCATCCCTCACTACCCAAATCTTCCTCAAAGGTAGTGGGTTTCCAAACCTTTTGACTATGCTTGTGCAGCATTGTCATGCACTAAAGTGGAACATTTTCACAGCAACACCATGAATGCTGTTTTCCATATACGTTTCTCCTAAAAGTGGCTGTGTTCGGATGTGTGTAGGTTATTGAAAATTTTCTGTAAGAATCAAAATGCACCCTGAAGTGAATTTTTTCAAACAGGAAAAAGCTCTGGAGTAATTTTGCAAATTTTGCTGCTATGCAGAGTTGAAAATGAATTTTCAATGTGTGACCTCCAAGTAAATAAATTACTGAGCATTAATTACTAAAAAACTTTAGGATGTTTTTAAACCCTGGGTAAATATTTTTTAATCAACAATTAACACACAGCAACTCAGAGCTTTCTTCCAATTATTTCGAATATTGTTAACAATAAAACTATGGCAGAGCATCTGGATTAGAATACATTAATAACTTGTAAATTTGTAAATTTCTGAGATTACTCACGCCGTCTTTAAATATACAAGTGCTTGGCTCTCTCTGAAGCAATCTACTATTCAATATTTTTCTCGGTTCAGTAACCTCATTTCTTTGCCACATACAGTTTTCCCCTCATGTTTTGGGGGTTTTCTCTACGGTGAAATTATTTTTAGAACACATTTTTTCTGATCCCGTGAGTTTTTTTCTAGAGAGAGAGTCCACCTGTAGCCGTAGGCTTATAAAAGTGCAACTACATGACATTAGATAACATGTTTCCCCTCAATTGAAGATGACAAGTTTTTTTACCCTGTGTAGTAAAATCACTATACTTTTGATATCCGCTCTCTAGCTGTCTAGCTACTCTAGCATGTAATGCTGTATTTGTATTTTTGAATTTTGAAAGTTATTTGATTTTTTAAAGGGTTAGAGACCCTGCCGTGGGTCTTTCTTGCCCACAGTAGAGTATATATGGGGTCTAACAAAAGTTATCTGAATAACAATTTAAATGGCATTTGTTTGAGCTGAAAAAACATTATTGTTCTAAATGAAAGCATTCTTTTGCACAAGAAAAACAAATCATCTGCGTTTGACATTCAGAATGACATTCAGTTTGACATTTTTTCAGAAGGTTTTTGCAAAACTAACACAAAAAATGATGAGGTGCCTATTTCACAAATTTTTTGATGTAGCCAAGCTTCTTTGAAATTCTTGAAGTTGACATGGCAGTAATTCCAAGGGCTTCTTCTTCTGGGTCTTCCAAACTAATTCCTCCATTTTCATGAACAACTGCCCCCTTCTCATTCTCATCTGTTTAAGGAAGGGTGACTGTCACAAAAATGTTTTGCCAAGTGTGTCAAACCAAGTTGACATTTTTTTGTGCAGAATGCTGCCAGGCTGACTGTCACAAGAATGTTTTGCAAATTTTATCAAACAGAGCTGACACTTTTTGCCCCTCCAACAAGGAATATTTTCCTGAGCACTACCTGGTTTTCAGATCAATCATACCCAGCAAATAATTCACCCATATTTTCACCCATACCAAACTTGAATCAAATGGGTGAAAGTCACCTGTATCAAGATACAGACATAGGGGTGTTTGATGTGGGTGACACACATAACAGTCACCTGCATCCCAATATGGGTGTGACACCTGTATTGGGATACAGGCAAAGCACCCCCCCCCCCCCCGCCTCTGAATACAACTGAAAAGCACCTATGTCAGCACAGCTGTACTTTATTGGTTTGCTATGGGTTCTGTAATGCCTTATTTTAAGTTCTTGTCCTGCTACCATATCACTAGTATCCAGACAATTCACCAGTATTCAGCCAACCATGGATTACACTTTTGCTACTTTTTTATTACAGTATACACTTCAGATATCATGTCTGATTTGTACACCTAAGAAAAATTACACCTGATTATTTGCAGGGTATATGGAGTTTCAATTCTTATGCATAGAACTTTTGTTAGACCCCCTCTTATATAATGGTCGGGGACCACATGCCGTTCAAAGGGCGCCAGAGCTTGAGTGGAGCCATGCCCGCCCAATAAATTTCTCCGCCGCCAGCACTGATTCTTGGACGCCGCTTCTTTCCCAGCTGGTCTAATTGGTGATGGAGGGTCAAATACAGCCGCCGCGTTCCCAAGTTCCTTGGCTTTCACGCACACTGTAAGATACCTGAATACCAGCCCAAGCTGGGCGTCAAAAATGGTTACCAGCAGCAACGAACGATTTGTATCTTCCATCTCTCTCTCGAATATACATACGGTATATACTGTACAGTATATTTATTTCTGCCGCCGCGGGCTATGGTGATGGGAGTCGCATTCCACTTCCTTTCTTTTCCCTTTCCTTTTGCTTCTTTGGAACTTGATCACGACTGCCAGTGCTGCAATGGACTCTGTCAAGTGACATCCAACTCCGCGATGTGTTCTCTTTTTTTCTTTTTACTGTGCCTGAAGGTTGAAATTGAGTGATAGTTGTTCGATATTAATATAAGCGGAAAATACTAAAAATTATACTGCATGTGACTAAAAACTTACGGGAGAGTTATTGACGTCTATGCTGGTGTATATTCATGACATGAAGGCGATAAACAAAAAGTGAGAATAACAGAGATCAACATACCCTGACGAGTTTTTGGTATCCAACAAAAATTAGATTTTTAAATACAAGCAAAAGCTCGATTGACTCGTAGAATTCTTCTTAAAGCAACAAAAGATGGAATCTTCAGAGGAGTTTTTCCAACAAAGATACACTTGTATACAGTGGAATTTGAGGTGCAGACATAAGTTGTGCTTGGTCCTTGTCGCTATGAAGTATGTCATCCATATTTTGGATTACTCTTTTCCTAAATATTAACATCCAAACATCTTCGATTGATACTTGATGTTTCTCAGAAATTAGGAACAAGTCCCCCACAAATTGAATGAAAAATTGCTTCCCTTAGCTTCAAGATTCAAAAGAAAAGTGTCCAGAAGAAAACCACATAGAATCTTTTCTTCTGGCATCAAAAGCTCAAAAAGCTATAAGAACATGAATAAGTCTTGCTACAATGTGCACAGATGACAGAAAGAAACTTTGAAAAGAAGAATCATAAAATCATCAGCCTGTTTTTGATTATGCATCAGAGTGAATTGATAATGAAATGCATTTTCCATTTTTGTGAATATAAATAGCTCAATTCCTTCAGGGGATCAATGAAAAATATTTTTTCTGGCGAATATCAGCAAATTGTCCCTATCTTGAGCCATCCATTGTCTCAATGTTGGGTCCAATTTTTTCAAGTTTCAAGTGTTCCTAATCAAAATTGTTGGTATGTCAGAATGTCTGATGCATGTTGGGGTTTCAGTGTATTTAAGCAGAGCATAATAAATCAGGATTAAGCGGATAAATTCCCCATAAAAATATTTATTGGAGTATTATGATTTGCGATTTTAATTCATAATGCTCAATGCACCATGCTCACACTTTTCCTGTGGCAAGAAAACGTCTCACTTCACCACTGCACATAAATATATACAGTAGAATCGTGTTACAACAAACTACCAGGGAGTGGCAAAAAAATGTGTTGCAATGAAAAATTTGTTATATAAATTATTCGGATATAAATACTTTGCCTAAAGTACAGTAGTCATTTTTTTTTCTCTGCAATATCTGTAAATATATAATTAGTCTTTTATGAAATTATTAAATTTGACAATGAATTTGAAATTTTAAAAAATAACTCAAAACAGAAGAGCAATTGAATAAGAACAGATTTTCACATTTGTTGGTGGCTAGCTTGGCACTGTGCTTCCAGACTCCTGAGACAATGGATATATGATTAATCAGGATACATTTATTTTATGGGCTTCGTGCTTGTCAGCTAATGTAACCCATTTTTAGCTTCCTGTATTTTCAAGGGTATAATTTTGTTTCAGACACATTTCCTGTCCACTATCTACAGATGATGAGCCTCAGGTAATTATAATACAGTACAAAAATCAGGGGAAAAAATTGGAAATTTGGGGGGGGATCTGAAAATTGAACTAAGAATTTTAAAAATTAGTGACAAAAACATGTCGTAATTGGAGATTCTGTATAGAAAAGAAATTTGTTACAACGAGATAAATTTAAGCTGTGCCTTAAGGACAACTGCCAGGACTTTGGAAAAAAATGTGTTTTAAGCAAAGATTTGATACAAAAAAGATTTGTTGTAACCAGATTCTGCTGTATAACCTTTTGACAGTTTAGCATGAGAAATGCATGCCAAGTGCTCTCTATTACAGTATACAGGTGCAAAAGAATTGCACTCTTAGTGCTACATAAAGCACACTGAGTTCATAATGCAGGTGGTTCCTTACAACTCAACCTCCAGCAATCTAACAGTGCTGCAATTCAACAGTCAAATTTTCTGAGAGGTTGACTCTCAATTTGACCTCTGCCATGAAATTTGACCCATGGAGAGACATGAAACATCAAATTCCTTGTAGAAAACATGCCATTTGACAGATTATCCTGATCACTTTGCAATTTAACCATAATCCAGCAATGGATTAGGGTTGAATTGCGAGGTACCACCTGTAGTTCAAGAAGCCCACAGTCAAAAGTCAACTCCTGAATGCAGGCAATATTTTTATGCAATCCTGCACGGGATTGCATAAAAAAAAAGTCCACAGGAGCAAAGAAAGGCAACTCTTTTTTTTTTTGGAATTTCCAGAAAAATACCTAGATCGATTTGTTCTTTACTAATAATCAGTCTTGAGAATTCACTATCATCAAACCCCAGGGTCCCAGCACCCTTGCATGCCTACTTACTTTGCAAGTCCATATTAGCAATCCAACTTCCACTTCAATGCTTATTGAGAGTGACAGTTGGATCCAAAGTAATCAGCCGCATTTTCGTCGAGTTCAAAACACCAATGGAAAATTCCTTGCATCATTTTCCAAGTAATTGGTTCCTCTCCAGAATCTGTGGGCAGCAGTGGAAAAGTGAAATAATTCCGAATATTCGAGCAAGATGCCAGCAACAACGGAAGAGCACATTGGCAACGCTCTAATCAATGGTCTGGATGAGCTGCGTGACACAAAAAATACGCCATTGGTGTTTTTTGTCAATGGGGTCAAGGTACGTATTGTTCATGCAGTAAATTGATTTTAATTTTGAAAAGCATGAAGAAAAAAAAATTTACGGGTGACTTTCCCTCACAAAAAAAATCAAGGGACCAGGGAAACATTTGGTTTAGAGATAATTTCGTTGTAGAGAAATTCAACTAAATACAAGGGACAAGAAAATACTTTTTTGAGAGAATTTTGTTATAGACTACTGTATATAGAGAACCACTGTAAAATGGGAAGAGAACCCTATGAGACCAAAATAAAATGTATACAGAGAATATCTTTGCAGGCAAGTCCCTTATCTTCATGCATAAGAGAGTGCACCTGAATGAATCTGGAAAAACTCAGAGTTTGTTTTATTCATTTTTGTTTATGTATACAATTTGGCACCAGAACTCCAAAATTTTTACAATTGTGGTGACCCCTGTGAAAAGTTAAAACACCAATGCATTGCACTGAACACAGAACATAATTTAATTTAGAACATCAAACATTGCTTGTATTGACGTTCTGACTAAAATTTTGAAAATAACCACTCAAACTTTGCAACTGTTCCAAATCAATTTTGCAAACGTAGAACCTTTTGCTGTATACAGGAGATAAATTTTATGGGTTTGGAATATTTTTGTTTTGAGAACAAACTTTTCTTGAAATTCTTGAAAGAAATAAATGTCTTCAGGAACTGCTGATCACTGCAAGATCACTTTTTTTTCAATTCAGATGCCAACATGCAATGCGCCAAGTTCTTGTGTGCTTCTCATTTCTCTGTAAATGAAAACCCCGGTGATATATTTGAGAGAATGCAAAACATTTATCTACTTGGTTTATATTTTTAATCCTGTAGGCAAACATTTTTTTAATACAAAAGAAGTTGGAATTTAGTTGGTGTTCATTCATGAATGTAGTAGGGGAAGATCTCTTCAGTGGGAAATATTTTGTATCATTTATCAAAGGGTGGGACTTCTAAGGATATACACATCTCAAAACCAAAACTTTTCAGAAAAATGCTCCTCTGCACCTCCTGTCAATTGATTCAAGTAGCAATTTAAGGCCTAGAATGTCACTATTTATAATGACCTACAATTCTTATATCTTCCTAACAAAAAAATGCTTACTTCCCTAATTTGCAACCTGGCTAAATCAAAGCCTATCATCTAAGTCAATTATTTTTTGCTGGTCCCTTGAAATTTAACTCAGATGGGTTTGACATGCAGCAGTACTTATCCACAATCTGCACTCACTGCAAGAAATTTCAAGAAGACCATCACAATTTCAAGTGTACAGGTTTCCTCCTGATTTATTGCCCAAAAAATGTTTTCCAGGTATCAGATGCGGATGTGGAGCCAGAGATGACGCTGCTGGAGTACTTGCGGACCAAATGTATCCTTTTGCAGACTATAACAAGGCACAGTCTAATCTTTATTGATTTAAAAAATTAAATTTCGGCTATTTTTTCCTTTATGAGAGAGAATGCACAACTGACTTCACACAGTGTTTTTGACTGGCACAAAGCTTGGCTGTGGAGAAGGTGGATGTGGGGCTTGCACAGTGATGGTGTCCAGATTCAATCCACACACTCAAAAGCACAGGTAAGAAAAGGATAAGACTGTCTTGGATCTTCCTTTTTTCTTGTATTACATACAGTATATTGGGACTTTAAGGGGAGTTCCTTTTTTCTTTGTGATGATTGGGAACACCTGAACCATTCTTTGCTATATGGACAAAGCAGCGCTCTAGACTTGGTAATTTTCTCAGATATAGGACAGGAAACTGGAAAACTTCCAAACATCAATTAGATGCACTGAAGCAGAACAAATGGGTACTTTCCTGTTATCTCAGTACCAACTTTCTGTGCCTTATTTTATATAACTGTTGAGTTTGGCGCACAAAGTACAATACTGTACACATTGTCGGTAATCTAAATGAACAATTTTACCTGACCTAACCTAACTTCACCTAACTGCCTCCCAAAATCAGTTTCTGCTCTCTTTGGGTTTCTGCTGAAACTGATTTTGTTTCTGCTTTCTTTGGGTTTCTGCTGAAACTGATTTTGGGAGGCGGTTAGGTGAAGTTAGGTTAGGTCAGGTTATGTTTATTACAAGATATTTGTAGCTAACATAACCTGACCTAACCTAACTTTACCTAACTGCCTCCCAAAATCAGTTTCAGCAGAATGCAGAAAAACAAAATTCACAGTTTCTGGTAGGTTGTTGTGATTATGAACTCATCCTAAAGATTTATCTGGATGGTAGTGCGGTCTAGGAAAGTACTGGTTGACCTTCGGAGGTGAATAAAGATTTGTCTGGATGGTAGTGATGTAGTTCCTTTTCTCCATAACTAACGTGATTAACTAATGATACTGAATTCACGAAGCAAACAAAAATGGGTACTGAGATAACAGGAAAGTACCAAAAATGTGTCATTGAGAATTTTTGCACTGTTTCCGTGAACTTTCTGACAGGACCTTTCAAAATAAAAACGAAGAGGCATTTTTGGAGTGAAAATTTGGCAAAATGAAAAATGTCGTCATAAAATAATCCCTTGCGATGGAATTTCTCCAGCAGTGATCAAGTTACTGATCAAGTTTGTTGCAGTAACGCATACCTGAAATTTTCATCAACACAGCACACAGGTTTCTTTTCTTTATTTATATTTTGTTCTTCTCGCAAATTGCATTTGGCAGCCACTTGGCCGTGAACGCGTGTCTGGCGCCCATCTGCTCCATCCACCTGGCAGCCGTGACCACGGTGGAGGGCATCGGCACCACCGCTGGCGACCAGCTCCACGCTGCCCAGGAGCGGATTGCTCGGGCCCACGGGTCCCAGTGCGGGTTCTGCACCCCGGGTTTCGTCATGTCCGTCTACGCCCTGTTGCGCAACACGTACGGAAGAGATGATGGTGGTGGTGGTGGTGGTGGTGGTGATGCAGCACCGCCCACGATGGCGCAGCTCCTGGAGTCTCTGCAGGGCAACTTGTGTCGGTGCACGGGCTACAGGCCCATCCTAGATGGCTACAAGACCTTCACCAAGGAGTACTTGGACTCTACTAATGGCGCCATCTTTGCCGGGGCGGGTTGCTGTGGCAAAATGGTGAATGGCACTTGTTGCCAACGACAACAACAACAACAACAACTGCAACCACCACAATTACTCATCAATGGTGTTGCAGAATCCAGCTTCAAGCCATATGATCCCAGTCAAGACCCCATCTTCCCACCTGAGTTGCAGCTGCTGCTCATGGACCATCAACACAATAATAATTCTGGGGACCGAGTGTCAGGTCAGAACCGGTCAACCTGTCCTTCCTTCCACTGGACCATGTCCGGAAGGTGTCACGTCGTCGAGAACGTCGAGTTCAGAGTGATGTTCCTACCCACATTCTAACACCGACCGTTGTGACTTTACGGTCAGTACATTGATAAAAAAAAAAGTAAAACCATAATGTCTGCCCTGAATTCATTAATTTTTTCAAACATTTTTAAACAGCAAGGACCCTTGGTTAACAAGCTTAAGTGGTTCCAGAAAAACATCTGCTAGCTAAACTTGATTTTCCCTTAGACCTCTATATAGAGAACCATTTCATCCATTCCTGACACCTAAAATACAATTGAAAATGTATTTTTTTGAATAAAGCAGCACAAGCATTTAATCAGAATGAGTTACTGTAGCATTATGTTCATGTTCACAATATTTTTTACAGCTGGATGGAAATATGACTTATGAAAACACTACTCAAAAAGCTTCACATCCAGAAAAACATGCACATATGAGTTTAGGATAACTGTTGCCAGAAGATAAAATTTCAATTTTACAATAATTAATGCTGTAACTGAAGAAAAAAATTGACAGATACACAGTGGGAAAAGCTATACAAAATGTTTGAAAGCGCATTTGTCCACAGCTTTGCACAGCTGGATATCATTTGTTCAATTTATTCTGCCCCAGCATGGAACATCCATGGCACACTCTCATTCACTAGCTCACTTGGTGTTAAAAAAGAACTTTAAAATGTTGTGTAAGCCTTTTTGGCCATCCTAATACTTTTTTGCTTTATTTTTTAATGGTAACTGCAAATTGATTGTGCCCCAGAGTTAGGTGTAATATCAACATTTGGAATTTGAAAATTTTGAATTTTGCCTGTGAATGGAAGTTTGTGGACACAATTTTGGTTTGTCACCACTGATTTTTTGTTCAAGCACAAAATTTTAATGGCCGAAAAGTTTGTTGACCAGCTCTTTTTTCAAACAAGGGTCTACTGTATACAATCTCATGATTCTCTAGTGAAATCCCATAAGAACAAATCCTTTGGATAACCAGCGCAGGTTGCTCCTCACAATTGAACCCTAATCCATTGCCAGACTAGGGTTGAATTGCAAGACATTTTGTAAAATTGAGAAATATAAGCACAAAAATGCAAAAAAAGTGGCCAAAGCAGGTTGAATTCCAGGGCAGAGGTCAAATTGCAACTCAACCTCTGTACAAATTTGATCTTTGAATTGCAGGACAGTTGAATTGTGGGAGGTTGAATTGCTAAGTACCACCTGTGCTGTCATATAACGTTCATTTTTTAAATATTATAAAGGCAGAAACCTATAAAAACAAATACACTGCATCCAATATATTTTTAAAACAAGATTGCACAATTTCAGGCTTGGAAACAAGGCAGAAGGGACTCCATTATCCAGTTCTCATTGACATACAGGAAGCAATAGCACAGGACTCTGAGCTGAAGGTGACACAATTACTGGTGAACAAAAACAATGGCAGCATGTGGATTGGTGGAGCCATGACACTCAGTGCTTTCCAGAGTGCATTAAATGAGCTCGTTGCCACAACTGTCAATAATGACCAGGACAAGGACCAGCAGTTGTCAGGTACACTTCAATTATTGTCAGTATGCTCTGCTGTGCCTTTGTCAAAAATCATAAAATTCACCAGCTCTATTTCTGCAGTTGTTTTTTCGCTCATGGCATTCATTGTATATGACACCATGTCCTATAGTTGTAATATGCACATAATACTGACCTGGGAAATCATTCAGTTGGTTACAGCATGCGTCAAAATCAATGTAAAAAAATGAAAATAGTTTTTTTAATTCCAAAGTGGAAAAGGAAAAAAATGAATAAAAATTCCTTTGAAATTTGAATTCATTCCCCTTCAAATTCAATTTTTCCTTCTGATACATGTGATCCTCCTTTTGGAATGCACTTTTATGAAAATTAGAGTGTTCTTGATTTTTACAAAAAAAATTCTGCGATTTTTTTCTCAATTTTTTTCTCAACTTAGGGTTTGATTGTTATTCCTCAAGTAATAATTTTTTAGGCAAAATGGCAGCCAGTCCTAGATCTTTTCATATAACTGTTCATTGCTCAATCGTCAGTATCCTGTAAGTGACGACAGGATTTTTTTCCGAGGTTACCGTACTGTTTTGAAGAAGAATTCATACCGCGTGAAGACAGGTATGGAACTTTTTAACGACTACTTTATTAAAGACGTGCGTTTATGTCTTATACAGTACTGTACAGTAAAATACATATTATTGCACTCCTGTGAATATATAGGACTAGGAAGGAATATCTGTTCCGAGTTCCTGTCCATGCTTCACTGGTTTGCTGGCAAGCAAATACGCAACGTGGCTGTAAGTACTTTTCCATCATGAACTTCGCAGAAAATTAGCAGTGCACATAATGACATACAAGCATGTGCTGGTCCTCGAACATTTTCTTTTGAGGGGTCTAACAGAAGCTTTCAGAATAACAAATTAAAGCGGCACACAATCGGGCAGAAAAATAATTCTTGTTCAGATATTGTAAATCATTCTTTGGCACGAGAAAAAAATAGCCCTGCTTTTCAAAATATTTGCACCTTCACAGCCACCACATTATCTCATCCTAACTGGCGGCTGTTGATGGAAATGGCGGAATGACCTCAAACGCCCTATACAAGAAGCAACCCTTGGAGTTAATGCCATGACAATTTCTGAAGAATAAGCTGAGTGGCACCATTTGTAAGATGGACACCTCATCTATTGAGTAAAGTGCAGAAAGCTGCCAGGGTGATTGTGCAACCAATTTTTGAATGGGGCTGAATTTTTTTTTCTTGTGCCAAAATAATTTTTTCTTTTTGATTGCTTTCCAGCTCAATTGTACGCCATTTCAATTTATATTCTGAGAACTTCTGTGAG